CACATGAAATGAGACACACATATATATTTATTTATTTTTATTGTATGTATATGAGTGTTTTGCCTGAATGTATGTAAGTGCACCTGTGCACACAATGCCCAAGGAAGCCAGAAGAGGGTGTCAGATACCCTGGAACTGGAGTTGCCAACAACAGTGGTTATTGCAGGGGATCCAGGTTCAATTCCCAGCACCCACATGGTGGCTCACAACTGTAACTACAGTTCCAGGGATGTGATGCCCTCTTCTGGCTTTCCTGGGCACTGCATGAATGTAATACACTTACACACATGGAACACAAAACATTCATACACAAATTACTTTTTAAAAAAAAGGCCATGGGGCTGGAGAGATGGCTCAGTGGTTAAGAGCACTGACTACTGACTGCTCTTGCAGAGGACCCAGGTTTAATTCTCAACACCGACATGATGGCCAAGAACTATCCTTAACTATAGATCCAGGGGAATCTGATACCTTCTTCTGACCTCCGAAGCACTGCATGACACAAACACCCACATACGTGCAGGCAATACACTCATACACATAAAATAAAAATACATATTTTTTAAAAGGATGTAAATTTGAAGAGGTCAGAGGTGACGGGGAGCTGGGGGAAGAGGGGGTGAATATGATCAAAGTACATAGTACTTTGCATGCACGAAATTCTCACAGAATAAAAATTTTGTTTTTTGGTCTTTTTGAGACAGGGTCTCCTTGTAGCCCCAGCTATCCTGGAACTCACTATGTGGACCAGGCTGGCCTTGAACTCACAGAGATCTGCCTGCCTCTGCCTCCTGAGTGCTGCGATTAAAGGCGTGCACCACCATGCCCGGCAAAAATATTATATTTTTTTTGAAAAGAAGAAAGTCAGGTGTGGTGGCATATGCCTTTAATCCCAGCACTCTGCATGCGGATCTCTGTAAAATGGAGGCCAGCCTGGTCTAAATAGCGAGTTCTAGGCCAGCTGTGGCTACAGGGAGACCCTGTCTTGAAAAGTCCAGAAAATAAACAAAATAAATAAAAAGAAGAAACTTGGGCAGAAGAAAGCCAGATAGCTCAGTGGGTAACGATGCTTGCCACTAATCCTGACGACTTAAATTCAATCCCTGGAACTTACACGGTGGAAGGAGAAAACTGTCTCCTGCAAGTTGTCCTTGGACTTCCACACACATACTCACACATGTACCCACACATGCATGCACATACAAACAAAAATAAGTAAACAATTTACTTTTAATATAAACAAGCTGGGCGGGGTGGTGCACCCAGAGGCAGGCAGATCTTTGTGAGTTCGAGGCCAGCCTGGTCTACATAGTGAGTTCCAGGACAGCTGGGGCTACAGGGAGATCCTGTCTCAAAAAGACAAAAAAATACACAAGGAACTTAACAGAAATCCATTATAGGTAGAACATATCTGTAATCACAACACTGGGGGAGGTAGAAACAAGACAATATGGAGTTCAAGGGCTACATGAGATTCTGCCCTGAAAAACTAAGAGGAGATGGAGAAATAACTCGGTCCTTAGCACTTGCTCTTCCAGAGGATGGCTCCCAGCTCCCAGGTTGGACAACTTACAACTGTGTGTGACTCCAGCTCCAGGGGATCTGACACCTTCTTCTGGCCTCCACAGGAACACACATGGCATACACATATACATACACATAAATAATAACAAATATTTGGGAAAGGGGGGATAACAATTTCAATGAAATTGCTAAAAAGTCAAAAAGATGATAAGGTAGGCTGGAGAAGCTGGGAAAAAAGGCAGGCAGGAAGTGGTAGTACCACAGGTTAGACATTGAGCCACCCAGGGAGAGCTGAAACCACAGCAGAGTCAGAGCTCCTGCTGGGAGCCTGGGAAACGCAGTTTACACAAAGAGTAGCAGAGTGAATCTGAAAACAGGTGAATGACTGGCAGATTTTTTAAAAGTCTATTTCTATTTACTTGTATGTGTATGAGCATTTTGCCTGCATGTATGTGTACCATGTGCATGCAATGTCTGCAGAGGCCAGAAGAGGGCGTTGGATTCCCTGGAACTAGAGTTATGATGGTTGTTAGTCACCATATGGGTGCTAGGAACAGAGCCCAGGCTCTACAAGAGCAGCCAGTGCTCTGAACTGCTGAGACATCTCTCCAGCCCTATACCTGACAGATTCCCTCTTCCCTCTTTCCTTATCATAAACCATGTGTTTTAAAATCTATTCTAGAAAGCAGCCAGGCATTAAAGTCCTTGCTCTAGCCAGACATAGTGACATAAGTCTATAGTCCCAGTAGTTGGAAGTGGAGGCAGAAGAACCTGGAGTTCAAGGTTAGTTAGGTTACATGAGACCCTGCCTAAAACAAACAGAAGTTCTTGATTTTAAGATTCTGGAATTTATGGCGGGGCATGGTAGCCCATGCCTTTAATCCCAGCACTCCAGAGGCAGAGGCAGGCAGATCTCTGTGAGTTCAAGGCCAGCCTGGTCTACAGAGTGAGTTCCAGGCCAGTTGGGGCTACTACCACATTTAACAAGGACTCTGATCCAGCCGGCTTGACTGGAGTCTTAGCTCTTAACACATGCTAATAGTTTGATGATCTAGAACAAGTTATTTGTGACTCCATTTCCTCCATTATAAAATGAGGACAAAGTTAACACCCACTTCCTAGAGGTGTGGTCACCACCAAATGAAATAATATACATGAAGGGCTCTGAATGGAGCCTAGTGCATGGTGAATAGGCTCTAAAAGCACTGAAGAAATTTGTTTACATTTTTTTTTTTTTCTTTTTTGGTCTTTTTGAGACAGGGTCTCCCTGTAGCCCCAGCTGTCCTGGAACTCACTGTGTAGACCAGGCTGGCCTCAAACTCACAGAGATATGCCTGCCTCTGCCTCCCTAGTGTTGGGATTAAAGGCATGCGCCACCACTCCCGGCTTGAAAAACTTTTTTTAAAGTTACCATATTATCATTTTGAAAATTGGATATCTACCCATTTTCCATTACCTTACCATTAACAGAATGAGTATCTCTTATCCAAAATGCACAGAACCACAGTAAGTGTTTCCCATTTCTTTTCTTTGACTTTGGAATACTTGTATACATCTAATGAGACCTTGAGGACACAACTCATGTCCAAACAGAATGCCTTCATGTTTCTTATATACATTACACACAGCCTGAAGGTAAATTTAAACAGTATTTTTAATAATTCTATAGATGAAACTAAGTTTCCTGGTGTGGACATTTCTACCTGGGGCATTAGGTTGGTGCTCAAAAAGTATAAAACTTAAGCCGGGCATGGTGGCGCATGCCTTTAATCCCAGCACTCGGGAGGCAGAGGAAGGCAGATCTCTGTGAGTTCAAAGCCAGCCTGGTCTACATAGTGAGTTCCAGGACAGCTTGGGGCTACAGGGAGACCCTGTCTCAAAAAGACCAAAAAAAAAAAAAAAAGAAAGAAAAATATAAAACTTTCAAGTTTGAATTTCTAGATTAGGGATGTTCAACTTGTACTAGACCTTGGGCACAATACTTCTTCATGCGTGCATTTCCTTATCTGAAAGATGGTCATAGCCACAGTACCACTGTATCTACTTCACAGGATTGCTGACAGAATTAAGCTGACAGCTGTAAAGTATTTGTTAGGTATCTACTCAGTGCTTTCTTAGGTACTGAGCCTGAAATGTGGAAAAATCTCAAAAAATACTTACAATTTGTTACTGTTTATATTTCCACAGGAAATCGGTAACTTCAAGCCCACCAAAATTAGAAATTATGACAGAAGGCAGTAGTTGCTATCAGATATTGAGCACTTCCTATGTCTGACCGTGTGCTTAGGACTCAGTGTGCACTATCTCCCTAAATATTTGCAACTACTTTAAGTGGGAGCTGCATTATTATAAACCTCAATTTTGTAAGTGAGCTGAACAGGGAGGTAATTTTCTGAAGAGCATGTAACCAGCAAGTGATGACACATGTTGTATTTACCAGTTCTTACTGAGTCTTGAGTAGGAGAGCTGTGGGGACAAAGGTAAACAAACAGTCTAGGCCCCAGAGTTCAGGAAGTGTCAGTTTCCAAAGAGGGGGCGGGGCGGGGCGGGATGACGAATAAACACATACTGTAACAAATAATTACAATGGCTCTTGGTAATTGTAACAATAAAGGCTTACTAACTAAGACAGCGATCGGACCTCAGACGCCGGCTCAAGAAAAAAGTACACAGCGGAGACACTTGATTCCAAATAAAGCAGACGTCCTTTGGCACAGGCGTTACAAACGTGTCCTGCAACAGAAAGCAGATTACATGCCAAGGACTGACCAAAGCTGGGTTCGGCTAAAAGTTAGAAGACGAAACAGGACTAGCCCGGGCAGAGCCGGAAAGGGGTTAAGCGCAGGCGAGCAGGTGGGCGGGGCCCCCGATGACTGGCAGGGGTGGGGCCAGCTGGCCGCGCCCCGCCCTCCCCGCGCCGGCTGCTGGGTTGGGGCCGGGGTCCGGGCTGGGCACCGAGCTGAGCAGAGCCGCTGCTTCCGGCTCAACTGCGCGCCCGGCGGGACGCGGGGAGCCGAGCAGTGCGCAGCCGGCCGGCGGGCGGACAGTCGGCAAAGTTTGGCCAGAGGAGGAAGTGGCTCCGCGCCCGGCAGGTGGCGGCCGGGCCCG